TTGGCACCGTCCACCCCATAGAAGTAGTGGATATAGAATGCGTACTTGATCACGAATCATGTCTCCCCTTTTTCTCATGCGTGCCCTTATAAATCCGCCATGTTGAATTTGACCAGGAGTGCAAACTACAATAATAAAAGTAATTGTGTACGTTTAAAAAGATTATTGAACTCAAATATAATATAATATAAATTAACATTTATATTATAAAAGAGTTAGAACATACCTATTGAGTTTGAGTATGTCTTGATTTTTAGTGTAAAGTTTCACTTTACACTGTTGCGATGGCTGGCGAATTCACACGAATCAGTCATGCATTCATTCATTCAGTCATTCAGTCATAGAGTAAACTTTTCGGGGGGTGCATACGATTTATGTTTGTAAGTGATTTATTGTACTTAATCAGTGTTTTGAAGGTTATTTAGGCAATTTCAGTTGTCTTACTTTAATATTCTTTTGTACTTTTGCCAAGTTCACAAATATTTCCGAGGAATCGTTGTCGTTATTGTAATTTTTTGTAAATTTTAGAACATTCGCTTCTCATGTTGTGAAGGATCTTTTTCCCGGAACACCCGATTTTTTCCTTAGCCGCTCAAATGCGCATGCGCTATCAAGCCGTAGATCAACGATGGCGTGACGATGCGACGAAGGAGCGACACCTCTCTCCTCCGCAGAGGTTTCGGTGTTATCGAAGAAAGCGGGAAACCTCTGCCAGAAGTCACGCCCAATAGTTCAAAATACCGGGGGGAGGGAGGAGTTTGTGAGAAATTTGTTAATTGTTATTGTTACATGTAATTGTTAATTTGTTATTCTCAAAACTGTCAAAAGTGTTTATATCTATGTACGACGCAAATTTAGTACGAAAATTCGACCTAAAACACTCTTGTTCTGGAAAAGCGTTATTGTTAGAATGGAGGAATGGGAAAACGTGTTGTCATGCTTGTTTTACAGAATATGGGAAAATCGAAATATTTTTTAAGAAATGGACTTTTATGTCCATTACAGATCGCTTCATCGGCGATCGGATTTCAGCGAAGAAACAACGGTTAAAAAAGGAGTAGAACTACTGCATGACTTGGTTGCAACTGAAACTTTTAACAATCTCCAAAAGCTTTCCAATATGAGGCGATTAACCGCTTAGGTTGTTGTTCATGTTCAGCTTTGGATGGGCTTAGTTGATGTTTACATGCTTGAAATACAACATCTGCATGCTTGACTATCTATATTAAGTAAAAATGTGCATAAATGTAAATCAGGGTAGCCTGATACAGGCAGATTTTTATAAATCCTATTTGACATAATCAACAAACTATTGTTTACCAATTGAAATATAAATCATAGATGACATGATATATCTGACATATATGCCTCATTTTTATACTAGACGGCAGACCCATCAATTTTGCATTTCCATTTACAGAATTACAGTACAAATTACTTACTAGAAATACATGCATGCAGCAACCCCTCGCCCATATTTTCCAAACATTGATGTAACATGAAGTATTAGCAATTGATCAACACTGATGAACGCAGGCTCGCGTTACGTCAGTGTTGCCATGGCAACTCGATACGATAACACAGAGTAGATAAGACATGCAGAGACGTAACTGACCGTTGTAAACACTGCGGAAGATTACGTTATCATGTACCCACTTTTTTTCAGGCGACCGTGCAAAAAATGATCAACTGCGCGTGCTCAGCAAGTTTAAAGTGAGTCGTCATCCAATCAGATGCATGCATCTAGTAACTTGCCGAGCATGCGCACAAAAAAAGTGGGTACACTAGTTACGTCTCTGTATGTCTCTACTCTGTGACGATAATTTTAATTTTTATTATACTTATACAACACGGCATAGTCGAAAGATTATTGCTTTTAACTACATAACAATGACTTTCCGAAATATGTACTGTAGGTATGTTGTTCTGGATTTGGTGAGCTTGGATTTACTGTAAAATTTAACCTGAATTGCTTCGTAAAATGTTTTGAAATGTTCATTTTAATAACTGAACTGCTTTTGTCGATAAACTGTTTTTACTTCAAATTGTTGAATAATTTCATTTAGGTCTTCAAATTATAAATTTGCTCTCCTTTACATTTACCTTTTTTTCTTAAATTAAACAGAGTAATTTAGGAAACTTACAGCTTCTTTGAAAAGGAAAACAGCAGTGCATATTTTACGCAATAAATTATTAAAGCAACAAAATTCATAATCATAAACATTAAACATTCAAAGGGAACTTGCCCTATATTTCATGATTTTCCATAGTAAATCAATTCTTCTCATTTTCCAAACAAAAATTGCTTCAAAGCTCATTGTGTGAAACGTGATTTTCCAAATATATGCTTTTGAAAATTGAAATCTTGCTTTAAGGCCACATAAAAAAAATTACTTGTTTAGCGTCCCCGCCCGACCTGATAAAAGTCCCCAACCTCCAATTTTTTTAAATTTTTTTTTAAAATCCATCCGAGTTTAGTGCAAAAACTCTCTATAAAAAGACCGTTTTACTTGAAAAAAAATGGTGATTTTATTCTTCTGGGAGCTATGTAATACGTTTACACAAAGTTTCCTTCCCAGAATATGCCTGTTCGCAGCTAAAGTGTTCGCGCGTGACCGCCAAACGGTAATTTTCTGTTTTATTAAAAACATGAACTGTATTAAAAAACAAGAACAGATTTTGAAAGAATTAAAGTGAGTTTTGACTGTGGTAATATACTGGATTTCCTGCATTTAGCAGAATTTTGTGTTGCATTTTACGAAAAAAAACAAAACCAAAAAACCCCCGCCCGCCCGACCTAGAAAAATTAAAATGGGTGGAGGCTAAACAAGTAATTTTTTTATGTGGCCTAATATACTCAGTGTGCTAATCCCACTCCTGGCAAACAGCCATATTTTTGAGATCAGTAAGGAGGTCCACCCTTGGATCATAGCCATGCGCCCACGGTATTTGATGAACTTTAGACTTCGCTAGTGCGTTCCTTTCCCCGGGTGTAAATAGCCGGGGGAATTAGTACCCTCGTCCCGGGCTAACGCCCGGAACGGCGCTCCGCGCCGTTGGCTCGGGGATTAACTTGTCTCCAATTTATAATTGTGCTGTAAAGAACTCAAATTATTTAAATATAGTTACAGCTACTGATTTAAAAGTATAATTATCAATGGAAAATTGAGGAATAATATATACAAATAACAAGGCGTGAATAAGTGAATTTAATTATTTATACTAAACACAGACACTCAGACACAGTACTATCATAATATAATACCTATACAAAGTTTTTAGTTGAAGAGATATAACTTCTTTGACACTAACCCAACCTCGCAAGCAAGGGCCTCCGTCCCGCCGCGGGTGTGGAGGCTCTTGCTTGCGAGGTTGACACTAACCTTCAATGGAAAGCTGATCAAATAATACGTTCAATACTGACTCTTCTGTGTCTTCTGAATTCTCCATACAGTGTTAAAATATTAGCGTTCTCCATGTGATTTGAAGACTTTAATTAAACTGTTTTCAATTATCTGTGCCCTGTTCGGGGGGGGGGGGGGTTACGCCCACCCCACCCACCCCCGAACAGGGCACAGATAATTGAAAACAGTTTAAAGTCTTCAAATCACATGGAGAACAATGGAGAACGCTAATATTTTAACACTGTTTTGAGCGTCCTTATATACACCTTCGCTGAAAAGTTTGTGTTAATTGCTCAAAAGAATTTAGAAAGAGTTATTCAAGTTCTAGCACTTTTTCGTCCAATTTAGCACTTTTTCGACCGACACATGCAGTGTTGTAGTTTCAAATATATAAATATTTCAGACATTTAATAGAGAATCTACGCAATATATAAATTGATGTTATGCATTATGGGGCCTGGGCATTCAATCAAGTACCGATATTATTTAGACGATATATTCATTATACACAGCTGGGAAGGAGCTAGACAGTGCTTTTTTTCAAATGTATAAACATTTCAAGACGTAAATATTGAGAAAATCTTTGAGATTCGCAGCACTCAATTAAGTGTTGATATTAGTTTGACGCGGCATATTCATTATACAGAGCTAGGAAGGAACGATACTGCAGTATTGTTTTCAAATATATATATATACAGGGTGTATCAAAAAAAGCGGAATCCTCGACTGAAATGTAAATTGCTAAACAAATAATAGACGAAAACTTTAAAGTTTACATTCATTTTAAAGCGTAGCCATTCAGCTTTCTAACAGTGGGTTGTTTCTTAAATTTGACTCATTGGTTCGCGGGTAATAATTCTTTACGTTATTGCCATTGGAGATTAAAAAAATTGAGATGGAATAACAAATCGTTCTCATGAAAGTAACTGATTTTTTCATTAAAACAAAAAAATGTTGCATTTTAATAAATGGATTGTAACAATAAGTATAATTACGGCTTTTCTTCCGCTATTTTTAACACAGTTTGAAACTTCAAATGCGATATAATTTTGGCTTGGACCATCTAAGCTGTCTGACATCAGCTTGCTATAATTTCTGTTTACATTACATCGCAATTCGATGACACTCTGGCTCAGACACCAGAATGTTTTGATTCTATTATTTTTAGCATTCGTTTAGGATTTTCAAACAACCTGGTCTCTTTTAAAATACTTTAATTTGTTCTTACGTGGTTTTCCAGATGTAGTGACGACAACATTAAAGTTTAAAGAAGAAAATTCTAACATTTAAACCGACTAAACAATAATATAGTAAACTTGCATAATTAAACAGCAACTAAAAATGATAGGTTTTACTAAATATTTTCCTGTGCAATTATTACTAGCATTGGAGACAAGGATAATAGTTTGTTTGAAAGAGAAAAGAACAGGCTTTGAAGTAAGCCTAAAAGCGTTTAACTAGAAATAGTATTTCGAAAGTTATTAAGCACAAAAGATGAATTGCGTTGACGCGCTTAGATTGCTGACGCAAGCATTGCGTCTAAGCGCGTCAGCGTTGACACGCTGACGCGCTTAGATTGCTGACGCAAGCATTTAAATGATCGTGTTTACATGCGCGCGCGCGTTTGAAATTAGAAGCTTTATATAACTGTTCCTATGCCTACATTTGCTAGACAATTCAGATCTTATATTCAATGTATTATTTTTGTCCGATAACATAATCATTCTTTTTTCCTCGGTGCACAGAGAACAAACTTTCATTCCTGGGCAAACGGCTGGAACTTGCTTCATGACCGACAATTTTATTCGGAATGATTTGTTCTGCGATTTAAGACCCCAAGCATATTTCGAAAGTTCCATCTCTGTCGAATAGCGCTCATTGTTCAATGATTTCAAATGATTGCTATATCTTAGCTTGAAAGGACCCGCCGTCATTCCTATATAATTCTTGACCACTTTCCCATTGTCGCTTGTAATCTGGGCTTTATACACAACGCTTCTCACGAGACAATTGCCGTTCAGTGGACATTTAAATAATTACACGATTTCGATGGAATTTGGGAGGGATTCTGATTCTTAAGAACACGCCGGTTGTGGTTTGAAATTGATGCTTTAATATTGTTCATGCATGAATAACTGACTTTGACAGAGTTTCGGTTGAAAATTTTATGTAGGATCGATGATTTGGGGAAATGCTTGTCTATTAAACGAAGGAAATTTTCTGAATCTTTCATCTTCACGTTCTTGCTGTAGGGCGGATTGTACCAAATAATGTTTCTTGATCGGGTTCGTTTCTTGGGCTTACTACTATTTGTTTCATTGTCATACCTTAGGTTGGTATTGAAATTGCTTTGCTTCAGTGCATCTTCGTATAAAGCGGCGGCTGAATCAAAACTCGGTTTGTCGGAGGAAAGGGGGGATATACGCTTATTAATTGACTTTGGGAGTTGTCTGATAATTGATGGTGGATGATTAGAACGGCTATCGATATAAATGGGATCATTATTTGGTTTTCGATAGGGAGTGAAGTTATTTTCTTTCAAGTTTAAGGTTACATCAAGAAAGTTCACTGATTGATGGCAGACATCAGCGGTAATCTTTAAGCCGAACTGATCGAAAATGCGATGGAGTTCCTTTCTAGCCTTATCCGCCGATCTACCCTTGCTCCCTTTTACCAGCATTAAGCCATCATCCCTATACAGACCAACCATGTCATTCCCGAACCGTGACGCTAAAGTATTTAATATAAACAAACCAACAAGTTCACACACTTCAGCACCATCGTAGCTCCCCATGGCAACATCAAAAAGCGCACCGTCCGAATCATTGGTTTTACTCCATGTTCTCTCCCCGTGGAAAAGAAGCGATTTACGCGCGTGTTTGATGGCAGATTCTTCTTCCGGCGTGATATTTGTCATAGTTCTCGCCCAAGAAATTGCACTGTTCAAGAGATCTTCTGAAATTGATGGGTAAAACTCGTTGACATCGAAGGAAAGGAAGGAATAGTCACACTTGTTTTTAATTCCTTGGAATTTATAGCGTCACGGTTCGGGAATGACATGGTTGGTCTGTATAGGGATGATGGCTTAATGCTGGTAAAAG